CTCTCTCTCTCTCTCTCTCTCTCTCTCTCTCTCTCTCTCTCTCTCTCTTTGTCTGTGTGTGCATGTGCGTGTGCGTGTGCCTGAAGATGTGGAGTGTTCCGTTCACTCTCGGCTTAGCGAGGAAATAGGTGAGGGCCCGCGGCCTAGTGAAGTGCTCCCTCCCTCCCTCCCTCCTTCCCTCCCTCCCCTCCTCTCCCTTCCCCTCCCTCCCTCCTTCCCCTCGTTCCCTGCCTCCCTCCCTCTCCTGCCCCCTCCTTCCCTCCCTCCCTCTCTCTCCATCCGTCCCTCAGTCCCTCCCTCTCTCCCTCTCTCCCTCCCTCTCGCCCACCCTCCCGCTCTCTTTTAGCTCCTCCCACCATAGGCTGCAACTCCACTTTGGGTGGGGTTGCCATGTTGCAAGTGGGACTCGATTTTTGCACGGCCGCTATCGGAACCAGTAGGGGGGGATCATGCTGTGCATGCGGATAGGCAAGGGCGAAGGGGGAGGGTGAGGATGCGGGGTCGGGCGGATGAGAGAGTGGGGATTTGGTCGGTCAGGATGGGATCCGACAATACAGGAAGCAGAAGGAAAGTCACTGGGATAACGTGAAGCATACAGGGTACGTTTGAAGTCGTGAGGGATAACGTGAAGCATACAGGGTACGTTGGACGTCGTGAAGGAAGTTGTGGACGAGGAAGACGTTGAGGAGGGTCCTAAAGTAAGTGGGAGGAGGATGTGGGTTGGGGACCCAATTTGCCGAGAAGGGCATGGGCAGCGTGGACTGGGAGGGGGCTAATGAGGATGTGGGATCGAGAGGAGGAGGAGGTCGGAATGCCAGCCAATCAAGGTGAGGATGGGAGGGGGCCAATCAGGATGCGGGATCGAGAGGAGTAGGTTGCAATGCCAGCCAATCAAGGTGAGGGTGTAGGAGCTGATGAAGTGCGGGGGAAAGAAGGCCCCACAATCTTTAAGGCAACAGGGAAAGGAATGCAGGTTGTGTAAGGCAATCCGCACAAGGTGGGGAAGAAGAGATTGCAAGGCAGGAAGAGGATCTCGGAGCCGAGGGGAGGGAGAAGTTAAGGAAAGGAGAGAGCAGAAAAATGACGAAGGGCCTCTATCACGGAAGGGATGGGGTATGTCGATATGCAGGTGATGGAGAGAGAGCAATGAATAGAGAAAGAGCAACAGATAGACAAAAAGAGGAAAGGATCTGCCAGATCCACAGAGGCCACATCGAGTATTCGAGGTGTAGGAGCTCGAAGAGGAACCTAACGGAGGAGAAATAGGTGTGGAGAAACAGACACAGGACAAGGAGAGACGCGGCTGTGGAAAAGCGGATTTCTGGGGGAAGATCGGGAGGGGGGATGGAGAGCACAAGTCATAAAATGGAATCGAACTGGCGGAAGGGAGGCAATGGAGAAGGAAGAAAGCGAAGAATTAGAGTGGGCAGGGGGGGCACACA